AACCTCACTTCTTCAGATGCAAGGCATCTTCTTGCATCTGAAGAAGTGAGGTTCTTACCCACGAAAGCTTATGCTCCCAGTACTTCTGTTAGTCTCAAAGGTGCCACAGGACCCTCTGATGCTGTATAGAGAGATTCCACGAGCTCAATCTAGTTAAGTTTAACAAACAGAAGGTTAAGGGGTTACTTGATTCCAGTCTATGAATATCTACACGGGGAACCAATATTTAATAACTGGCTCTTCAATCTAACAGAGAAAGGTATGACACAACCCAATGGTTGAAAATTGAAGCTAGACAAATTCAGACATGGTGATAGTTATTAACCATAAGAACAATTTATCAAGGGGTGTAGTGGATTCTCCATCATTAACAATTTTTAAATCAAGATTGGATGTTTTTCTAAATTATATCCTCTAGGAATTATTTTGGGGGGGTTGTGTGGCCTGTGTTATACAGGAGATCAAATTAGATTATCACAATGGTCCCTTCTGCCCTTGGAATCTATGAAAATTACATTCTGAATTGTAAGGTTTTTTTTTTTTTGATAGAATTTATAAAACAGATCATGTTCCTAAATGTGGCGTGAGGGCTTGTCTTCAAGACCTACCTTTAACATCTAGGGCTTGATTTAACCCTCTTACATTAGTTTTATGCTGTTGTAATTCTATTGACATCAGTATAAAATCCAGTGCAATGGAATGAAAAATCAGGGCAAAAGATCCCTGACTCCACCAAGAAAGTAGGTTATGTTACCCTGGTTTTATTCTTCTTTTTACAAAACAAACACTTTACTTGCCTGTACAGTGAATAATTAAAGGTAGATAATTTGTATTTAGGATAAATCCCTAGTCCTGGTGCCTAGAATTTTCCAGGGTTGTGGCTGTACATAAAAGGTATATATTTCACTAATTAAAAGCATATTGTCTAAATATCTTCTAAAAGGAAACTCGAGACAATAGGCTCTCTTACACACTGTAGATGCTCAAACTGTGATTTGGTAAGAGTCTAGAATCAAATTCAGTCGCCAACAGGCTTTTGGGTTAAAAAGATTTGAAATGCCGAGAAATGTCTCACAATAGGGATGTGAAGAGCTCAATTTTGTCTTGTCCACTCCTAGAATACCGGGCAACAGTAGAAGCATGTTTGCAAAGCACCTTCCGTAGTTCTAGCTAAAATCCATCCTACAAGAAATACAGGATTAGGGCAATATTGGATGATTTCACTTTAAGCATTTTTGTTCTGCTCCATGCACTAAATTTTTCCCATATTTTGGTATATTCTATACTCCTAAATTAGTTATTGGAAAATAACAGGATGTTTATCACTTGGACAAAGTAGAATTTTGTTGTTATGTCTTTTCAAATCCATGCAGCTAAGTGGAATGTGTCTACATGATGCAGAAGATCTTGATTTAACAGATTAGGCACTCAAATATTAAGGAGTAAAACCTATGAAGTTAACCATCTACTGCAGTATCATCTCAAAGGCTTCTAAAGGAAAAGAGCCCTTCCTACATTTTGAATACAGATCCTTCCTCATTATTATTTGTATTACAGTAACACCAGTCGCTATAAAAACACATATGCAGACAGTATGGTCTGAAGAGTTTACAAATCCTCTGAGAAGGTCAACATTTAAGATGAATGCTTGTGTTTCTGAGTTTTAGGAGCTACTTTCTTATCAGATTTACGCATTTTTCCCTTTGTGGCAATGGGATTCCTTCAAGGAGAATAACTGCTTTTATCTGATTTTTATTTTATTTTATTTTTATTAGCACCAGAGCGCTGGACCTAACTTTGGAGAACAATTTGACTGATCTCTGCAATCTGGGAAATTGGAGCTGGAACTCAAGTTCATCCTTTGGTTGGTTTTCAGGGACTCTGGAAGGACCATAATCTCGGTTCCCAACTACTCTGTTTCCATCTCCCATGTGATTCCAAACAACCTTCTAGCAAAAATACAAAGCTAGCAAGTTCTAGAAGCAAAATGGTGATTCTAAAAGAAAGATAGGCTAGTGTCAGGTGTCAAACTCACTTTGCTGAACCACCGAGAGCGTCCTTAATCTGTTCTGCAGCTAAATAGGAAGCAGCTAAACTAGTTGCTGAATGAGTAGGTGAGGAAATGAGAACATTGCTGCTAAGTGAGAAGCACAAGAGAAAATTTCTGATGCCATGGAAATTTTCCCCAAGACCCACATACCATTCCAAAATATAAAATTCCTCTTAAAAAAAAATACAAAGGGAAACTTGTTTTCTATAAGTAAAAAAGTACCCCTTGCTAAACAACTTCATTAAACGTAGAAAAGGAAATATCTGGTCTCCTCTTTGGAGGAAGAGATAATGGGAGGACAATTAGTTCAGCAAACATGCCAGAAGGCGGGGCTTTCAGAGGTCTTCATTCTCCAAACCAGCTCCTCCACCCTCAAAAAAGGAGTTATCCTCTATTAAGATGGATTGGATAGAATTATTATTTCTGTTCAAATCAGTAGAGTCAAAGCAGGAGAAAAATTAGCCAGTTTTGAAAATAAAAAATGACTACTTTCCTAACTAGAAAAACAAAAATCAATTATGTTGATTAGTCACAGTATTTCTCAATGTCAGATTAGGCAGGGGAAAAGAGGAAACAATTGAAGGTACTGGTATCAGTTATGTCTCACCTGAGAAAGATTTGTGCCACTTTGTGGCAAAGCCATTAAACATTTTCTGAAGTCTAATCCGATAGCACACTGAGTGTTCCATTCAGAATCTTGATATCAAAGACTGAAGATGAGACCTAATTACAGTGGGTGCATTTCAAAAGTTCATTCTAGTTTTGGAGGTATTACCAATTCCAGCGGTATTCCCCCATTTTAAGTATAGTATTGATCACTACAAACAGTAGTAGCTCTAAAACCAGAATGAACTGTTGTGCCCACTGTTCTTTATTCTAGTGAAAATGACAGCAATCAGTACCAAAACCATTCTTGTACCCAACCTATACCCAATAGAGAATTCTAAAGCAACATACCTGAACTCTGAATTTCCAGGTTGTTCCAACAGGAATGCCAGGTATAGGTCCATAGTGGTTAGAAGGAACAATAGTGCATTCCTTAGTTCGACCAACACAAGCCATACCCTACCAACATAACAGAGAGAAGAAACTAATTTTATTATATTTAAGTTTCTTTTCAAAGTTGATGCAGACAGCCGGATTTCCATTATAAATAAAAATGTTTTAAATACATTTTCAATAAATTTTATGTAAATTCTAATTGTTATTTATTATTTTATTTATAATCCTTGTCTCTAGTCAATTTAAACTTTTGGAGACAATGGGCAAAATTCAGCAGAATTCCACTGAAGATTGCATGATGTGTAATTTAGTACTCAACTTTGCACAGTTAATTTATATGTATAGTCACAGATATAACACACACACACACACACACACACACACACACAGAGTTATATTTATTCTTGAAATACACTTTACCTTGCCCCAGTCTCGCTGACTCTCAGTACTGGCAGATGGCATCTTTGCTTTCTTTTTACTCTGCTTGAGCTTTTCCCCAGCCTTTACAACTTCATTAGAATCATTTTTGCAGGAAGGACAGTACCTTAAAAAAAGTTTTGAAAGATTTTAAAATTGATTAACCTAATGGCAACATATTTACTGTAGCCAGAACCGTGTTGATTAATCCTTATTTTCAAGGTTTTGCCAACCTCAAAAAATTCCAGTGTAATATAACTGATGATGATGATGATAATGCTAATAATAATAATACTGCTTTGCACTCAGGCCTTGGCTACACTTGCAAGTTACAGCGCTGTAAAGCCTCCCCCAGCGCTGTAACTCACTCCCCGTCCACACTGGCAGGGCACTTGCAGCGCTGTATCTCCCTGGGTACACCGCTGCAGGTACTCCACATCTCCGAGAGAAACAACAGCTGCAGCGGAGTGGCTACGACTCACAAGTGTGAGTGTAAACGCTTGCAGCACTGTACTAGTCACCTTGTCAAGTGGCCAATCCTCTCCATTGTTGTGACCGGCTGCAGGAACGCGGAAGTGCCGGTTTCAAAGCTCATACTGCAGGGAAAAGCAAACAATTTGCAGCTTGCTTTGAGTGAGTAAACGAACGAGCAGGGGGCTGGGAGTTCGGAACTTGCAAAATAGAGAGCTGACATGCTCCAAAAAGCACTCTCTCTCCCCCCCCACTCCCTGTCACAATCCATCCCCCCTCCCCCATTTGAAAAGCACGTTGCAGCCACATGAATGCTGGGATAGCTGCCCATAATGCACCACTCCCAACACAGCTGCAAATGTTACAAGTGTGGCCACACCACTGCACTGGCAGCTGTCAGTGTGGACAGACTGCAGCGCTTTTCCCTACTCAGCTGTACGAAGACAGGTTTACCTCACAGCGCTGTACAGCTGCAAGTGTAGCCAAGGCCTTATACTGTACTTTTCATCCTAAATTCTCAAAATACTTAAAGAATATATTAAAGCAGAGTTCTAACTAAAAAGTAACTCCTAATTCCACCTCTAATTCAAATCTGTGCAATCTCATTGTCTTCAATATGGATATACAGGTGTAACTGAAGGATCTGATTTTGACTTCGAGGTTGGCTGAACAGTGAGATATGAGCCACATTACACTTAACCTGTGTGAGTTCTGCATGGCTGGCTATAAAAACAACAAGAATAAGAAGCTGCCATTGTCACTTTTCTGACTATGAACCACATTGTAAGAAAAACTCACAACGTACTTCTGAGGTATATATTATAACAAACCTATTATGTTGTGAAACAGGAACCTCTTTATACCAACTGGCAGAGGGCATAAGAGTTACTGGGATCCCCTGGATCTGGTATCTACATAATAGTTTGCCAAAGGGTGGCATTTAAGGTCTCTGCTGAAAGCCTGTGTCATACTGGTCATCATAATCATTGAGAAATGTATGTATGGATAATATGCAAGAAGTTGTGTACATATAGTGAAAATTATGTTCTTAATGCCTGTGAATTAGGCCAGTCACCAGGAAGTGTTAATAAGTTGCTTTCAGGCAGGAGACACATCTGTCTGGCTATAGGTAAATTGAGTATTGTGTACTTCACAATGGTTGTCTATTTACAGACTGCGCAAAACGCTAATCAAGAAATTGTGAAAACTACAAGGAGGTTCTCCACAGGAAAAACAAGAAATGGGGGGGGTGGAGGGGGGGTTTCTGATTATGAACAAAGACAAAGGAATGTTGGAACTGTAACTGGAGGTAAAGAGAAAGATTCTGCATCCTTCACTTAAGGGACAAGCTGACAGTGTGCTTGTCTTATGAAGAGAGGGTCACAACCAAGCTGGCTGTTAAACGCTGGGAGAAAGACTTTGGTAAGCTAAACTTCATTAGATAGGAAAACGTCTTGTTAGTTAACTCTAGAAAGCAGGTTATAATTTCATTTTACATGTAACCAGTTGTTCCCACATATTTCTACTTCCTTTTTGAATTTGAATCTTTGTATTTTGTTAAATATACTTCTTGTTTTACTATAAACTTATCTAACTGCTGTGTGCACTGGTGATCTCAGGTGAAGCTAGTAAGCAGAAGTATACTGCTTCTTTGGGAACAGAGGATCTGGGAACTGTGTGAGTATTCAACGGATTGGGGCTGGACACTCTAAAGAGATGCTCAGAGGGCCTGGGGGAGAGCCTGTGGCCAACTTGCAGAAGGACAGCAGAGCCTGCCTAGGCTGAGAGGAGAATGCTTGCGAGGGAGCTGACCTTGGCAGGCACAGACAAGGCTTCCTCACTCTAATGGCAGGTGGTAGTGAGATGCCTCACAACCCTGGGTAACCCCAGGAAGTGTCACATATATACTGATTGAGGTACAAAGATGGTAAGTTTATTTCCCAATATCATACAGCAAAAGAGCAAGGATTTGAAAGTTTACACATTTGACATTGAAATACTTCTCCTTGGGCAAGACCTAGTAACATGCTGAGCACTCTGGCCCTGATCCAAAGCACAGTACTGAAGCATGAGCAGTCCCATTGAGCTGCAAATTGCTGAAATTAGGCAGTAGGACTACTCACTTGCTTAAAGCTAACCAAATGTTGAAGTGCTTTGCTGCACCAGGGCCAGAGTGCTCAGCACCTTGCAGGATCAAGCCCCTTAATCAGAAATACCTTCAAGTGTTCCATGGAAAATGGGTGTGGATTTGACCTAGTTAGGAGTCTTCTGACATCTCATGCTGTGCATGTACAGTACATTTTGTACTGCATTTTTGGCTAAATTTTTACAGTGAGCAGCTTAAAAAGGTTGTGCTATGTTTGTGTGAACAGTTAATTTCTTAGTCAATTGACTTATTCCTTGAATTTCACACAAGACAGGTTATGCTGCTGGTTAAAAAATAAAATGTAAAGAGTTTATGGATGGTGACAGACAAACGAATACAAGAAGTTTAAGGGTGAAATTCTGGCAGAATTGAAGTCAAGACTCCTATTAAATGGGGCCAGTATTTCACATTAAGTCAATAAAGGTACTTCACTAGGACAGTGAAATTAGTGTAAGTAAGGAATGAAAAAAATAGAGTTAGCCATCCGTATCTAAGGTTATCGCAAAAACTGTATGAAGTTATATTCTATTATTTGAAAAGCAGTATGCAATAAAAAGGACTGTGGAATAATGCATATTCACAATAAGGTAAATTTGAAAGTGTGCATGCAGCTTTAACTATGGCATTTCCTGCTTTAAGATTGCTTAACCAAGCAATCTTAATGTTCCCTTAACTGAGCTTTGTATGGAATATTAAATACTGTTTAGCATATAAATAGACTGGTTCTGATCTGTATGAAAATGCCTTATCAGTATTTCCCAAACTGTGGGGTAGAACTGGGGGCTGCCAAGTTTAAATTATTAAAATTTAAAATGGACAATTTCCCACTTTTAAAACAAACAAATACCTGGTATTCAACTAAGGGTCAAACTCTGCCATGAACCTATATTAGTATGCAAGGCAGGAAAAGAAAAGGAGACACGCTTTTACATTTCTGTGCAGCGGCATTACATTGCAGAATTGAAGGCCTTTGCACCAAAGTGAGTGCAAGGACCACATAGGATTAGCAACGCTACATAACCTACGAGAAGTGGACAAGAAGCAAGGCCATAGCTCTGTCATTCCATTGCACTGGCTTCCCTGGCCAGAACAGTTCATCTACCTTCATGAATAAAACTCAGAACGCATATGCCTATAGTGCAAACAAAACAAAGTTAAATTATAAAATAAAAAGAAATGTTATATACCTCATCAGTCACTATGGTTCTTCTAGATTTTTGCACATGTGGATCCCACTTCTCCAGTATAAGTTCAGAATCTTTTGGCCAGGAGTGTCTGGGGAGCTGTAAATATGCCCTAGATGTCCCACCTGAGGGAATATATGGCCTAGTGGTCCCAATTGCCACTCAGTTCCCATCCAGTCCAGAGTTCCAAATATTCATAAGACTCCAGAGTAGAGCAGAGGAAGGCAGGATCCACACACCCAAACCATACTGAAAAACTAGTTACTGACAAAGTGAATAACTTGTTTTTCTTCTTTATGTATTGGTCAGTGTGGATCCCACTTCTCGTGACTAAGAAGCAGTCTTGGTAAGACTGGTAGAGGGTCTGAGGAGTCCTAATTGAATAGGGATTGCAATACTTGGCCAAAATTGGCATCATATATGCACTGTCCAAGTCCAAGGATTGATGTTTTACTAAGATATGAATGGAGTTCGAGGTGGCGTCTTTGCAATTCTCCAGTACGGCAATATTCCTAAGGATGGCTGAGCAAGGTACCTTAGGTCTAATAGAATGAGCCCTATACTCCCTATAGGGTTTTAGGCCTGCCATTCAATATCCTATATGTATGCTTTCTTATCCACTTAATGTTTGAGTGGAAACGGACTGCCCTCTAACATTGGCACCAAACCCGTGCCTTTATACTCTTGAAGAACTTCCTCTCTCAAGAGTCTCTCATGAAAAAAGTCCATGAAGGAGGCCATGAAAGGTGAGTAGGGTGTGGGAAGGACTTGAACTGAATTCCATATCCTGTGGAAATTACCTCCTGGGCCTAAAAGTATGAAGTAATACTCAGTTCAAGGCTGGGAGAATAGGGATAGATGGTTGCCAAACTGAAGAAACACTAGGTAGGGCTCTTAGTGTTACGTTGGAGCTCCCAACATGCTCATCAAGCCTGCTGCTTGTTCAAGGAAGAAATGGCGCTGACAGAGAGAAAAAAATCTCTCTTCTTCTGGGTTTGGCAGAAAAGGAGAGTCACTGGAATACTGATATGTCTTTGTTTCAGTCTTTATTGGGGTTGCTTTTAGAACCCAAAGGGCTCTCTGTTATTACACATGTAGTCCAAGAGACTAATGTACTGCTCTGGAGTCCTTTAAGAGAGCAAACATATTCATTCGTTTTTGAACTAAAAGGATCTGAACCTTCAAAAAGGCAGATTCTCATAGTGGCTTGGACCTATTTAGGTATCCCTGAAGAACATCTGATAGTTACTGCAGTGAATACTGAATGAGATGGTGTCGCTGAAATTTCTAAGATAACCTGGAGAGAATGCTTTGCTAAGAGCTGACCTTCAGAGTTCTTTTTGAGCGCCAATTTTTGTTCTGAGGGAAACTTGTCAATAAAGGATGACAAAATCCCAGATATGTTAGTAGTTTGAGACACACATCTACAAAGAAGCAAAAGAGCATATATTTCTGCAAAAAAAATCTAATTTCTTGGGGTCTCTCTCTTTAGGCATTGATTTGGCATTACTCAACAGCTTCGTTCTCATTTGCTGTTGACACCACTAAAGAACTGTATGTTGGAAGAGTGGGGAAAAAAAAAAAAACCCAATACTGAAAACCCTTCTGAGGCACCTGATCACATCTATCCATTCTTTTGCACATAGAGGGTTTCAAGGCCAGAGTAAGCCACAGATCTTTGGTCAATTCAAGGAGTCCTGGTTTTGGGCATCAGGACCCTTGAATGGTGACGAGCCTGTAGTATTTTGAATAATTTGTGAAATTTCTCCAGGACTGCAATTAAGTCTATACTCAGTATCTCAGCTAGTCTGCCTAGGAGCTGCTGAAAGGCCTTGTAATCATCAAGCGGTAAAACCAGATTGTGTCAATCTGCCTCATCAGCCAAAAAGGGAGAGACGTGATGGGGAACCAAAGGAGATTTAAGCTGATGTAGAGGAATAATGACAAAGTTCTCCACAAAAGTCAGTCAGTCTTGGAGTGGACCTTCAAAGGTGTAGTAGAATGGGTTTTCCTTGATAGGGATCACATTGTGTGTCCAGTACCATCAGAATAAGATGAAGGACCCCACATTGCTCTCCAAGGACCAGAGGGCCAAGAAGCCATCCCACATGGATAAAAGTGTGAAAACAGGAACCAAGTATGGTTCCAAGTTGTTGGCTACATGTCTCTGGAGTGTTAAGGATGACGGAGGTATGCTGATCTAAACAAAGTGGAGCTTGAGGTTATCTTATGCTTTCACAGGTTTATGAGTTCTAGGGAGCTCATTGTCAGTGAAGATAGAGGATGATGTGAAAAGGAAGACTATCTGTGAGCAACAGAATTGTCAGCATTAGTAGAGTCTGCACGGTCTGTGCTGATATCTTGGGTGCTATATAAGTTGGCACTGGTATTTCCAGAGAGAGTTTTGGGTGTCATGTCAGCCAACACCAGAGTAGTTGGAACAAAAGTTTTCAAGGGTGTGGCTGCTGAAGCCTCTTTATTGGAGGCCTTTTTGGTTTTGCCCAGTGCTGGGGCGAGCCATGAGACTAATGACTACACTTTTTTCTTCTTCCTCAAAGTCTCAAAGGAGGAAGAACGGTATTGGGCGTCCGTTTTAGAGCAATATTCCTGTCTGCCTCTCAATGCTGAGGTACCCTCAGGAGAGAAAGCAGGTTTACGTTCAGTTTCTGTACTCACACTCTGAGTAATGCCCAAACTGCCGAGGACCATGAACCAATTCCGGATGAAATAAGGGACTGAGGTGTTGCATCATGACTTGCCAACTTATTGTGGGACTTTACTGCTGCATAAGCCTATTGGCTATGCCTGGAAAACTCTGAGTTCTCCAAGTCCAAAGCCCCAACCGCACAGAATGTTCCAAGAGATAGAACTTGAAGCGGCTGTCTCTGTCATCAAGTTCCATAAAAGAAATTCTAACAATACATGTGCCTCTCCAAGGCTGAAGAGGCACTGAGTGTGCTCATTAGAGATGGATATCAGGCATGGATATCAGGCCATCAAACACCAGCAATCAGATAGACTTAAGTTCTGCCAGGAGATGGGAATGGTGTCTTGGCAGCAGTTAAGTGAGTAAAGTCAACTGAAAAAACCCAACACTTCTAATTTTGAATGCCAAATCTATTCTAACTAGTGGTAGGATGTAAACTAAGTGATATTTGACAGACTAAGGATTCTGGCCAAATCTGAACAGCTCAGGTAACATTGAGAGGATATCACTCTATTCCAAATAACTGCCACAGGCGGTCAGAAAGAACTAAGGGGAAGTTGGACTTATATGAATTTGGGTGGGAGACAAAAGGACATCTAAGGTACATGCACTGCCCCAAGAGATACTACTGGTTTAAGACTGCAAACTTGCACATCTATGGTGTGAACACACCAGAAGTGGGATCCACATGGACAATACTCAAAGAAGAACTACATTTACCTCTCTCCTCATGCCCCCTTACTTTTAAATACATGTTGAACAGCCTCTACAATGAAGTAGTCTAACTCATCCATCTCCACAGGAAATTAATATTTTATTAAAGAAATACCTGTGAATGTTTGAATGTACTTATTACTTATGGAACTACTGATTTGAAGTAAAGGTCTGTAGGATTGGGTTCTTAAAATTCTATTGGCGTATATGTAATGGATTACACTTTATATTAACATGTTCTATTTAAAAGTGGATTGATAAATGATTAATAGATGTCATGAGCATGTTACAAATATGAATCATGTACAATATAGATAAATCTAAGCACTTCAGTTAAAGGAGTAATAGATGGTTATTATCTGTGAGACTAATAACAATTGATTAATAATTTATTAAAAAGACATCTAATAACCAGTTACAAACTATTTATAAATGGAACCTTCGTATAAAGCATGGACATGAATTTTTATGCAGATTCTGTGCATGAAAAATACACCCCAGGGCCACAAGACTTCTTCCTCAATGTTCTGTATATCCATGACATTTCGTAATTCTCTATAGTCTCAAATAGAGAAGGCACATTTTATAGAACAGTATTTTGCATAAAGTATCATCCTTTTATATTTACCAGTCCTCATCTTCTGGTATCTTGCTTAAAGGTGGATTCAGGCAGTATATATGGTAGGCCATATTACATTCATCGCACAGAAGTTGCATGTGAGCATCCTGTTTTCCACCACACAAATAGCAGGAGCAAAAGCGACATTCCGTATCTGGGTCTGCCCTACAGTGCTTGCACTCAGGGCCACTCTTTCCTGTGAAGATAAATTAGAAAAAGTTAAGCCTCAGATAAGTGATTTCAGATTCATAAATATGCCATTATGGGGAGGGGAAAGGTGAGGGGGGAAAATGTACAGTAATGCTGTGAGTGCAGGAACTTTCCTATGGTCTCTGTTTAAAAATAAATTAAAAAAAAAAAGATCAGGCATAATGGTAGTTATTGAAAACCATTTATTTACAAAACTACATATACAATAATGTAACATCTAAAATATTAATGTCATGTCAATTTGTAGTCTTGTATGAAAGACTTGCAAAATAGTCATTATCATTTATCAGCCAAGGCACAAAATCTTCTCAATCCCCTTGCCATCATGCTGGTGATGAAAAAGCAAAAAGATATTTTACTTTTACTCCATCAAAAAAGGCCTCGATTCCTACACCCATAACAAGCCTCACTGATTTCAAAGAGAGTCTGCTCACATGGAGCTTATTACAGGGCAATGGACTAATTCCCCAATTCCATGAAGACTTTAGTGAGTAACCACTCCTGTGAGTAACTCTATTCAATCTGATGGAACTGCTCACATGAGAAAAGATATTCATGTATAAGCCTTTGCAGGATTAGACCAAAAAAGCTTCTGCAGAAGAACATGAACAAAACGGCAAACTTTAGCCACAGTCAACTTTAATAGAACTCTTGGGGGGAGGGGGGATTTTTCCACAAGATCAAACAAAGAGGAACTTAAAGTTTCATTTTCATTTGGTTAAATGCAGGATCATTTTTACATAAACCTCAGTGTAATCCATGAGCTCTATTTTTAGCCTTATGAATGAATATCAGGGATTTTTTCTTAATTAAAAATTTAGCCAAATGGAAGAATTTGTTTAATCATTTCTGTCTACTAGAATGAAAACATTCAGATCAACCTGTATTACTGCTAATGTAATACTTGACTAGACTGTTTTTGTCCACGACAACCATGGAACTGAGTAACTCCACCACAGCCAGTCCCAAGCTGGTTAAAAAAAGGAAGAGAGTGGTGTCAAGGCTAGCAGCCACCCATAAACCTTTGCCAAAGAAATCCCATTAAATGTGTCCTTTATATGCCTCATATGAACTAGGGTGCTCCCCGGAAGCAAAGAGTAGTGACCTCATCTGCGTGCTACTGCAAGGGCTACTGCATCACTCTGGACAGATACGTTCAAAGATGGGAGTCCAGAAAATAAGACTGGCATCTTGGAACACGGACATTAACTAGGAAAAGTGAAGGGCTGATTCAAACATAAATGAAAAGGAAAGTACAGATTGCCTGAATTCAAGAAACCAAATGGAAGGGAGCAAAGGCAAAAGATATTGGGGAAGGCTATAAGCTACTGTACTGTGGCATACCGAATATGAGAAAGAGTTGGTACAGTTTTAGACAAAATAATGTGGGAATATGTAGTGGATGTGGATAGGATAAGCAATAGGTTAATTTTGGTTAAGCAAGCTCTTGAAAACAGCCCCCTAAAAGTTGTTCATATGCATCACAAGTGGGAAAACAGACACTATTAAACAGAAAGTGATAAAGAATCACTAGTGCCAACCTTAATGGTCACATGGGAGAGAAGGTAAAGCTTCAAAAGGTAAAATGGCAGTTGTGGATATGGACACAGGAACAAGGAAAGTATGCTCAGATATATGATTTGATAGTGAATACATTTTTTCACCAAGGAAGAATGATTACCTTTCAGAGTGGTAGCATAGGGGCACAGATGAACTGCTTCCTGTTAAACTGAACTGAAGAACATCAAGAACTGTAAGGTCATTCCCAGAGAAAGCATTGTAACTCAGCACAGAATGCTGGTTCTTGACTATGGGTACATATCATTCATGAGAAGAAAACAGTCCAAAGCAGTAAAGTGGTGGAAGCTTAGTTTTAAATGCCTTTCTAGCTTCATTAAAGTGTTGGAGAAGATCTCTATAGAAGGGTTAAGAGAAATACACTCCGGAGGGGTCTAGCCAATCCCAGTAGTCTGTTTCTGGTGCACATGTTGCAGACAATGAGAGCCCTCCTAAGTGATCTTTTTGAGTTGATGCTGCTCAGTTATATGAGCTACACTATACAGAGCAAAGAACAGCTGTACAAGTGGGTGAAGGGATAGAAATGTGCAAGACTAGCTGTGTTTGAGTGTGCTCCCCATTCCACAGTGCAGCTAAGCAGTACGGAAGAACAGTATGTTACCGCACACCGAGATTTCACAGGAATCCTCCAGAGATCTCTGGGAATCTTTCCTGGAGGTACTCGCCGATCCTCTGCCGAAGGTTCCTTGGTAGAGCTGCTTTGTTCCTTCCCCCATTGTAAGAAACTTTCCCGCACCACTCGGCAATCACTCGTGCAGGGACCAAAGTGGCACACAGGTGAGCAGCATAGGGATCGGGTCTGAACCTGCTAACGTGCAGTAGATGCACTCCTGCATCCTTGCTTACCCTCAACAGTGAGAGATCGGCTTCGATGACCACTGCCTGTGGAAAATGGTGGCAGAATTTACAATATTGTCCCTATTTGCCTTCACTGACCCCTGAAAACATCACCTACACCCACGTGGGCCGAACTCACCATGTTTAGGCTGTTTGCAGAGTTGTGTGCTTGCCAAGGGTCAATGAGAAAGTAATTGGTATGTTATAAGAGGTATATTTTACTGTAAATGATTGAATGCTGTGCATGAACTAACAATTATGCTTCTGTGTATTGTTTCTTGTGCTTCTGCAGATGTAGCCTTCAGGGGAACCCCCTACACAGCGGCAGAGTGCCTTCTCCAGATAAGGAAGCGACCAAGTTGTAGCAAGGAGGACATGTTCTGAGAGGTGCTCCAATCCTCAGAGGCCGAAAAAAGTGAACCCAGGGAGTGGAGAGAAAATGAAAGGCAGGACAGAAAGGAGAGTGAGGAGCACATTCTAAAGACCAAGAGTGGACGATAGAAGTGATGGAAGAGTATTTTTAAGTAAATCATGGTTCTCTTTTCAAGAGAATATAAAATGAGTTTTATATCACCCAATAGTCAGAATAGATACATGCTTTCCACCCCCACCCCACACCCCCGCAGCTAATACAGAACTGTTTTCCATTCCTTTCCCAAACTCCTCCCACATCTTCCTTGCAACTTACCGGAATGTCTTGGTACCCTGTTCACTCTACGCCTTTGGACAGCTTCCAAAATGATACCTGCACTTACGCACAGCTCTGAGAGCCTACACTGCTCTTTACTGTTTTCTTCCTTAACACACACAAAAAGTGGTGGGAACTGGTGTTTAATAAAAACAAACTCTCTTTAAGAGAGCCACTCTTTATTTATGTCCTACACATAGTGATTGCCACTGGTAGCAATACATAGGTGCAGTTTAATCATTTGCTTAGTACAAATCCTGCTCAGGCATCACCACAATCTTTAGGCAAAATAAGATAACTGAAGTTAATGAAGCATGGCAGACTGTGGTATAGAAATGCACCGTTATTGGTGCTCATTATCAAAATGGTGTCTCAAAGCCTCCCTGATTCTAATAGCCCCCCATTGTGCCCCTCTAATAGCCATGGTATCTGGCTGCTCAAAAAATCAGCCGCCAGGCAATCTGCCTCAGTGCTCCACCCCAGGGGAAACTTTTCACCCTTAGCCTCACAAATATTATGGAGCATGCAGCAGGCTGCTATGACCATGGGAATGTTTTCCTCAGTCAGGTCTAATCTGCCATAAAGGCAGCACCAGCATGCTTTTAATCTGCCAAAGGCACGTTCTATGGTCATTCTGCACCTGCTCAACCTATTGCTGAAGCACTCTTTGCTGCTGTCCAGGTTTCCCATGTAAGGCTTCATGAGCCATCTGAGTAAGGGGTACACTGGGCCTCCCAGGATCACTATGGTCATTTCAACATCCCCTACTGGAATCTTCTGGACTGGAAAGAAAGTTCCTGCTTGAAGCTTTCTGTACAAGCCAGTATTCCTGAAGAAGCGTGCATCATGTACCTTCACGAACCACCCTGCATTGATGTCAGTGAAATGCCTACGGTGATACTCAAGTACCTGCAATACTATTGAGAAGTCTCCCTTTCTATTGATGTACTCCATCACAAGATGATCTGGGGCCAAAATGGGAATATGCATGCCATCTATTGCCCTCCACAGTTAGGGAATCCCATTGCTGCAAAGCCATCCACTATTTCATGCACATTGCCAAGAGTTACTGTCCTTCGCAGCAGGATACAATTAATGGCCCTGCACACTTGTGTTAACTCTGCCCCAACCGTGTACTTCCTGTCTACAAACTGATTTGCGACCAACTGGTAGCAGTTTGGAGTCACCAGCTTCCACACAGCAATCGCCATGAGCTTCTCCACCAAGAGGGCAACTCTCATTTTGGTGTCCTTGCGCTGTAGTGCTGGGGCGAACTCCACACAGTTCCAGGAAAGTGGCTTTCTGCATCTGAAAGTTCTGCAGCCACTGCTTGTCATCCCAGACCTCCATAATGATGTAATCCCACCACTCAATGCTTGCTTCCTGAGCCCAAAAGCAATGGTCCGCCGTATGTAGCTGCTCTGTGAATGCCAAAAGTAATCTGGTGCTGTTTCTTTCCACGGCACACAGCAGGTAAGGCAAATCTGATTCCTGTTCAGATTGGGAGCTCATGATATACCACCTGACCATCTGCAATGTATTCATAACAGTTACCACAACAATAGAGAACAGTGTGGGAATCCATCCTTTAAGACAGAGATGGGGGGCACACAGTAAACAGGGGCAGTTGAAAAATGCCACAAAACGCAGTCAGAAGCACATGGAATGCTGGGATGGAAATAAACTTCATCAAGGAACATTGAGCCCGCACCCTGATGCACTGCAATCCACTCCGCCTTCCCACAAGTCCTAGCTGCAGAAGATGGTGAGTAGCAGAGTGGGACAGCTACCACAGTGTACTGCTCTGACTGTCGATGATAGAGTTCCAAGTGTGGATGTGCTCTGCCAACAGAAGGAGCGTAGTGTGAACATGCACTAGTGAT